GTGCACTCAGATGTACTAGTTAGCTACAGTGCTGTCACATGTACTAGTTAAGCTAACAATGCTGTCAGATGTACTAGTTAGCTACAGTGCTGTCAGAAGCACTAGTGAAGCTACATTGCTGTCAGATGTACTAGTTAAGCTAACAATGCTGTCAGATGTACAAGTTAGCTAGTCTACAGTTGCTGCTGTCATGTACTAGTTAGCTACAGTGCTGTCAGATGTACTAGTTAGCTACAGTGCTGTCAGAAGCACTAGTTAGCTACAGTGCTGTCAGATGTACTAGTTAAGCTACAGTGTTGTCAGATGTACTAGTTAGCTACAGTGCTGTCAGATGTACTAGTTAAGCTAACAATGCTGTCAGATGTACTAGTTAGCTACAGTGCTGTCACATGTACTAGTTAAGCTAAGCTAACAATGCTGTCAGATGTACTAGTTAGCTACAGTGCTGTCAGATGTACTAGTTAGCTACAGTGCTGTCAGATGTACTAGTTAGCTACAGTGCTGTCAGATGTACTAGTTAAGCTAACAATGCTGTCAGATGTACTAGTTAGCTACAGTGTTGTCAGATGTACTAGTTAGCTACAGTGCTGTCAGATGTACTAGTTAGCTACAGTGCTGTCAGAAGCACTAGTGAAGCTACAGTGTTGTCACATGTACTAGTAGCTACAGTGCTGTCAGATGTACTAGTTAAGCTACTAGTTAGCTACAGTGCTGTCAGATGTACAGCTACAGTGCACTCAGATGTACTAGTTAGCTACAGTGCTGTCAAATGTATTAGTTAGCTTCAGTGCTGTTAGATGTACTAGTTAGCTACAGTGCTGTCAGATGTACTAGTTAGCTACAGTGCTGCCAGATGCACTAGTTAGCTACAGTGTTTTCAGATGTACTAGTTAGCTACAGTGCTGTCACATGTACTAGTTAAGCTAACAATGCTGTCAGATGTAGCTACAGTGCTGTCAGATGTACTACAGCTACAGTGCTGTCAGATGTACTAGTTAGCTACAGTGCTGTCAGATGTACTAGTTAGCTACAATGCTGTCAGATGTACTAGTTAACTACAGTGCTGTCAGATGTATTAGTAAGCTACAGTGCTGTCAGATGCACTAGTTAGCTACAGTGCTGTCACATGTACTAGTTAGCTACAGTGCTGTCAGATGTACTAGTTAGCTACAGTGTTGTCAGATGTACTAGTTAGCTACAGTGCTGTCAGAAGCACTAGTTAGCTACAGTGCTGTCAGATGTACTAGTGAAGCTACAGTGTTGTCAGATGTACTAGTTAGCTACAGTGCTGTCAGATGTACTAGTTAGCTACAGTGCTGTCGATGTACTAGTTAGCTACTGTACTAGTTAACTACAGTGCTGTCAGATGTACTAGTTAGCTACAGTGCTGTCAGATGTACTAGTTAGCTACAGTGCTGTCAGATGCACTAGTTAGCTACAGTGTTGTCACATGTACTAGTTAAGCTAACAATGCTGTCAGATGTACTAGTAAGCTAATGTGCTGTCATATGTACTAGTTAAGCTACAGTGTTTTCTGATGTACTAGTTAGCTACAGTGCTGTTAGATGTACTAGTTAAGCTAACAATGCTGTCAGATGTACTAGTTAAGCTAACAATGCTGTCAGATGCACTAGTTAGCTACAGTGCTGTCACATGTACTAGTTAGCTACAGTGCTGTCATGCACTAGTTGTACTACTAGTTAAGCTAGATGCTAGTGCTGTCAGATGTACTAGTTAGCTACAATGCTGTCAGATGTACTAGTTAAGCTAACAATGCTGTCAGATGCACTAGTTAGCTACAGTGTTGTCACATGTACTAGTTAAGCTAACAATGCTGTCAGATGTACTAGTAAGCTACAGTGCACTCAGATGTACTAGTTAGCTACAGTGCTGTCAGATGTACTAGTTAGCTACAGTGCTGTCAGATGTACTAGTTAGCTAAGCTAACAATGCTGTCAGATGTACTAGTTAGCTACAGTGATGTCAGATGTACTAGTTAGCTACAATGCTGTCAGATGTACTAGTTAAGCTACAGTGTTGTCACATGTACTAGTTAGCTACAGTGCTGTCAGATGTACTAGTTAGCTACAGTGCTGTCAGATGTACTAGTTAAGCTAACAGTGCTGTCAGATGTACTAGTTAAGTTAACAATGCTGTCACATGTACTAGTAAGCTACAGTGCAATCCGATGTACTAGTTAGCTAGTGTTGTCAGATGCACTAGTTAGCTACAGTGCTGTCAGATGCACTACTTAGCTATAGTGCTTTCAGATGTACTAGTTAGCTACAGTGCTGTCAGATGTACTAGTTAGCTACAGTGCTGTCAGATGTACTAGTTAGCTACAGTGCTGTCAGATGGACTAGTTAGCTAATGTGCTGTCATATGTACTAGTTAAGCTACAGTGTTTTCTGATGTACTAGTTAGCTACAGTGCTGTTAGATGTACTAGTTAGCAGATGTACTAGTTAGCTAACAGTGCTGTCAGTACTAGTACAATGCTGTAGATGTACTAAGCTACAGTGCTGTCAGATGTACTAGTTAGCTACAGTGCTGTCAGATGTACTAGTTAGCTACAGTGCTGTCAGATGTACTAGTTAGCTACAGTGCTGTCAGATGTACTAGTTAGCTACAGTCTTTCCATGTACTAGTTAGCTCAGATGTACTAGTTAGCTACAGTGCTGTCAGATGTACTAGTTAAGCTAACAATGCTGTCAGATGTACTAGTTAGCTACAGTGTTGTCACATGTACTAGTTAGCTACTTTTGTGTCTTATGTACTAGTTAGCAACAGTGCACTCAGATGTACTAGTTAGCTACAGTGCTGTCAGATGTACTAGTTAGCTACAGTGCTGTCAGATGTACTAGTTAGCTACAGTGATGTACTAGTTAGCTACAGTGCTGTCAGATGTACTAGTTAGCTACAGTCAGATGTACTAGTTAAGCTACAGTGACTGTCAGATGTACTAGTTAGCTACAGTGCTGTCATGTACTAGTTACAGAAAACTAAAAATGCTGTCAGATGTGCTAGTAAAATAGATAATATACTAGTAGCTACAGTGCTTTTGTCAGCGCAGAATGTATATATTTTCCTAAGTTAGTCAATTGCTTTACATTTTCTACACTTAATAGTTGTACTAACTTAAAATCGCTTGGTGACTTTTCTGATTTCAGAATAAACTGGACACTGTAAAATAAAATGGAACTCATCTTCAATTTCATCATTCTGGCAACATTCACACATTCTTCTACTTCTTTCAGTATTATGAAAACGACCATATTCAATTTTTAGCATAATACGTCTGCGTTCCGGGATACAACGACCAGCGAAATGTGTGACTAGACTGCTGACACCCGTGGTCTTGTTATGGTTGAGTGAACTGACATGATATCGGAGGATATATTTTTAGAAAACGGGTTTAACATTTCAGACACCAGGAAATATGCAACTTTAATCAAACATGTACACCTCTGTATTTTAATATCAATTTCATCAATTGAATACATTTAATGTATTTCAGTCTAAAACCAGTACATACAGTGTACGTAGATTGCTTCTATTATGAGTTTAGGGACCCGATTTAGTACAGGTCTGATATTTTTCCTTCGATATTTTTCACAATCTTGTATCTGCATGGCATAAAGTTTAGGAAGCTACCCTTCTGTTTTTCCAATTCTGGTATTACCAGAAATAACGGGAAATAAGATATTCCATTTTGAAATTCACTTCGTGTTTATTAAGACTTACATATCACACATCGAAACATTCAAATAAATAATCTCGTTTAACATGACTACTTAAAGAATAATCCGCCTATTATTCTAATTTAACCGATACCGGGGTCGAACGCAAGACTCGTGCTGCATATGATGGAAAGTATATCTTTCTGTGTTTACCTGTTTTATAACAATTGATTTTTCACCTACAATTCTATGTTGCAGATAAATTTCCGTCCATAAATTGCTTTTTGACAATTTTAAAGAAAATAGTAATCTCGAAGTCTTCACCTAAATATTAACAGTAAAAAAGTATGGGGACAAAACGGGGTCTACATTTACAGGTAACCTGAGTGAACGAACGAACTGTTCAATGAAATACCAACAGACCACGCCCTAAAGGTTTTTATGTCACCTGAGACAGTCTCATGATGGCCTATTGCGATCACCTTCCTCCGGCGCCGTGCGTCGTGCGTCCGTTAACAATTTAATATTTTCGACTTCTTCTCATGGTAGCAGAAATCTTCCCAAGCCAAAGATGAAGAAAAATGATGAATTATCTAGTCCCCACTCCCAAGGGACCTGAGGGGCGGGCAATAAATGTTGACGGGGACCGTAATAATGGATGTTAAGCACGTAAGATAATAATGTTGACGGGGTCCGTAATAAAGGACGTTAAGCCCGTTAGATAATGAATGTTGACGGGGCCCGTAATAACGGACGTTCAGCACGTTAATTAATAAACATTGACATGATTCGTCTAGGATATGAGCACCGTATGCGCAATTCAATGCCGTAGTCGTCGAGACAAAACATGCATATCTGGTAAACATTCTACTTGTTTTAGCCGCGTGATTCTTCGAGATTCTTTACATGCATGTTGATGTATGTCATGTTCAGGTTTCCTTTGCAGAATACAGTTCTCCTATAGAAAGGCGGCTGTGCCGCTTTCTCACGTCCCGTATCTTCAAACCAAATTATTTTCCTACAATGTTATTTTAATTTTGTTCTTTGGATAGATACCTCAAGATGGATGTCAGCTGTGATGATCTATAGGTAACAAATCCATTCGGACGCCGGACAGACAAAAATAATATCCCGCTCCAAAGTCATACGGACAGATGTTAGTCAGGATACTTGGTTTAAAGGCGGAAAAATAGATGAACATTACAATCGGACACCAGACCGGTGAAAGGTGAACCTTACACTCGGCCGCAGACGGACAGAAGATAATCAACATTGTGCTCGAATGCCAAACCAGGAGTAGATACATTCCACACCGTAAAAAATGACTGACAACGCAGTGTTACAGGTAAGTCGGTAATATTGAATTGTTTACTAATAACAAGAAACCCAATGTGATTGCATAATTTACTTTTTATTCCATATTAAACGACTTTTTACATCTGGGACCTTTAAAACAAGTTTTAAGGCAGCACGCTTGCAGTTTAACAGATCAATTCCTACAACATGCGGAGTTTCATTAGAATGAGTTTCAGGCATCAAACATTAAAGCTTATTTATTCTAGAACGCTCGTTTTCATTACCAAAATATGTACAGGAAATAACAACTAAAGATTGATATTTGCTCCACAGCCTTGACCTTTGGTAGTCTTGTGCACGTGATACATCACCTGTCTCCATTTACATTTGATAAGTTCATGTTAACAAAACAAATTACTAGTTTAGAGAGATAGAAAAAAAAAACTAACCTTGACATTTGACCTTGGATCTCACTATAACCTTTACCTTAACTGTTATTAAAATGACTTCAGTTTTTGTTTACAGCAATATTTCTTGCGTAACTCTAACCAAATAAAGAAATTGCTTGTATGTACTATACATAAAGTTATATGTCTTATTTGATATTTGACCAATAAAATTCGGAATTTATGTATAGGATATGTGGCGTTCTACTGTACATGTTTTGAATCGAAATGCCCATCATCAAACATAGTTTGGTATCAAGATTTTAAAATTTACCAAATGGATGAACAGCGCTGACTGGCATTTGCAATTATTCCAACGTCAGCATGCCATTCTATGTAGCTTTAAAACATCCATCTATGAATGGTGTAAGAGCACATAACCATACACGTACATATATGCAACACATAACCATACACGCACATATATGCAACACATAACCATACACGTACATGTATGCAACACATAACCATACACGTACATATATGCAACACATAACCATACACGTACATATATGCAACACATAACCATGCACGTACATATATGCAACACATAACCATACACGTACATATATGCAACACATAACCATGCACGTACATATATGCAACATATAACCATACACGTACATATATGCAACACAGAAATTATTATAATTACTTCTAGAGACACATGGATGAGCTGTCCTACTTACAAACATATATTGTATGTATTTATGTCGAATGTCTTAGCGAAAGCTTACGTTAGTAATATTAGTTATTTTTACCATGTTCTATCCGAGTTCTCCTAACTGGATTAGTATAGATAAACTCGGATAAGATCATCTTACTACCTATACATAAATTCTGAATTTTATTGGCTAAACGAAGTTATTTTAATGTGAAAATAGCTTTCATTGGCAATATGGACCAGAAAATGCAAAATGTCGATTGTGTTTAGACACCCCCTGAATTACACTTTTAGAGACCCCAGTGTCCACATGACATATCGAAGATAAATAATCATTGGTAATGTGTGATATGTTGTGACTAATCATCATCTTCTTTTCTTTCACAGACCAGAAAGTATGTTCTGTATTATGGACTGTCATTGTTTGTCCTGATCGGGTTTATTGGCTTCTTCTACATTGACGCACAGAAACGATCCTGGATTTCACTGATACCAGCTGAAGTAGGCTTTAGATATATCGGGTACAGTTCGGAAAAGAATGACACCAATCTTACAACAGAAACTGTTAAATACGTCCTATATTGGAATGTTCCACTGTCGGGAGGTTTGGAAATGTTCAATGACTGTGACTACAAATGTGAGTTGACAACAGATAAATCAAAGATGGCTTCTCAGAATGCCGTGATATTTCACACTCCATACTTGGGAGGAAATGTTCCTGCTAAATCTCGCGGTCAAGTATGGGTTTATTACGGCGTAGAACCGCCACCTATAAGTCATAATTTGAAGAGATGGCAGCGGGTGTTCAATTGGACAATTAATTACCGTCGAGACTCCGACATATTGTCTCGGTATGGCTCATTCGAGAGCAAACATTTAAACTCTAGAAACAGAAATGCAACTGATATAGGTGAACTGTCCATTCGAAAAAATATGACCGCAGCCTGGTTCGTCGGTAATTGTAATACACACGGAAGGCGGGAGACATATGTGAAAGTACTGCAGAAACACATGGATGTAAGCATTTATGGCCGATGTGGAAATCTGAGGTGTAAAGAAAAGGGGCGAGCGGCTACTTGGGGTGAAAACTGCCTACATAATGTAGAGAAGGATACACGCTACTACCTGTCCTTTGAAAACTCTCTTTGTCGCGATTATATGACAGAGAAAGCTTTTAAAGTCTTCAAAACGCATTCGTTGGTTCCTGTTGTTCGCGGGGGAGCAAACTATTCTATGTACCTCCCTCCGGATACTTTTATCGACAGCTCTAGATTTAAAGATGCTACAGATTTATCTAAATACTTAGTTAAGATGAAAACTGATAAAACAGCTTTCACTCGTTTATTCGAAAATCGAAATCGATACCAGACAAAGTACAACGATAACTGGGGATCGAAACCATTCTGTGAGATATGTAGAAGACTACATAATCCTGAAAAATACAGAAGAATTTATGAGGATGTATCGGTCTGGGTTAGAGGAACAGGCGACACGGCGTCTTGCAGGAAGCCTACTGACCTCACGTAATCTATTTAAAACTATAATTTGAACATAAATGTTGTTTAAAACAGAAATTTTACTTACGTATGCACCGTAATGAAATTAACGTACAGCAAAGAAAACCAAACAGCTAGATACAGTCGAATTACAAATATTGCGATGGTGTACAGAGCTAGTTACTAATTAATCAAAAGTCAGAACTTATCTTTTTGTGGAAATCCTCCAAATCAAGAGGAATTCATAGATTGTTCAGAAAACAGGCTATCTGAAGAATACTCCAAGAATTGTTTCCTCACTGGGTATATATAAGTGCAAGTCCACATGGCACTATCACTAAATCACTGTAAAACTCCACACTTCACAGACTGAAGTCTCAAATTTAGCTCACCCAAGGCGTTAATACTTCAAAAGGCAGCTCAGGCTCAGTTCCATCAGGTTTATATACACTAAAGGTTTCTAGAAAGGAACTTTCTAGATAATTCTAGACTGGCAGGTACCTAGTTTGTTTACATTTGTCTTTAGAAACATCCGGAAACATCAAAGTAATTCTAATAACCGAGCTTTCTAGATTTAAAAACTTCCGGAAGCACACAGGTCATTCTATTAACCGAGCTTTCTAGAAAAATCTGTCTACTATCTACACATATTGTGACAAATTATTAAAACAAGTTTTTTTTAATGAAAACAATCAATATGATATAATGAATGTAAACACAGCACATCTGAATTTGGATTAATACACAACATTTATATACAACAACAGTAATGCACTATATCGGCTAGAAACCGATTCCAGCCCTCAATGTGTTACGGAGAGGCCATTTTGTCCAGCTGTATCACGAGATTACATTTAACATTAAATTTTGAGTACACATTTCAACAAATTTGTATTCTTTTTCTTTATACACATTTTTACGTCCTCCAGGCATGATTTGAGATCCAATCAGTCCATCCTCGATTGCCAGTGTTTTGCAATGTCTCATTGATTGTTTCTACGGAGGTCCAAAGATGACTATTTCATGGCTCATTTCTGCTTCGAATTAATTAGTATAATTCCAATAATGTTTATGGGTTTCTTTATATCTGGTAGCTCCCCGGGAACTTTCCCTAGAGGCCAACTTTTTTTTTTTTAATTTTATTTTTTTTTGCACATTTTTCAACATGAATGACATTACAAAAAACACACAATGGCATATACCCACACAATCACACAGATCAATACCATCCATCATCATCGTGAAACCTGGTGATGACAAAATCATGATCATCATCAGCAGCAGCATCATCTTCATCGTCATCAATATCATCACATCATCATCATCATCATCATCATCATCATCATCATCATCATCATCATCATCATCATCATCATCAAACATCGATTATTGTCATCCTCATCATCATCATATATACACTGTCAATATTATATTTGATTATGTACACATACACCCACACACACACTCACCATAAACCACGCATGCACACACACACATATTAGGAGAGAGAGAGAGAGAGAGAGAGAGAGAGAGAGAGAGAGAGAGAGAGAGAGAGAGAGAGAGAGAGAGAGAGAGAGAGAGCTAGCTTCTAAAATATTCGGCTAAGACAGGGGCATCAAGAGATCATGAGTAGTAAAAATTTAAAATTGAATTGTGGAATTTGAAAGACTACAGGTTAAGTAATTTCTCCCATTTTTTCCATTCGTTATCAAATTGTTGTTTTTATTTGTCCTCTTTACCTTTTACAATATATTTCTGGATTGAATAGTTTTCTTTAATTATATTTATAAGAACATTATATATATATTTTTTTTTTGTAATTTATCATTTTATTCAATACAATGAGTTGATACAGAGAGGGAATATACAATGAAACAGCCTATTGCTCATCCATGCAAGCCCACACACACCTTTGCACACATGACAGCTCTTATAGTAGCTATTGTTTGTATATCTCAAGCAAGACATGCTCATACACACAAGAATCAAAAACAACTATATACTGTATGCATACACACACACAAACAAACTGTTTCATACACAATCACTGTTCATTCTCTCTTGCATATACACATATACATACTTATCTATAAACAAGTTGTTTCATCCACAGTCACTTTTCATTCTCTTTTGCATCAGAGACATACATAACACACATATGTCTCTGCTTGCATGTACACACATACATGTTTCTGTATAAACAAATTGTTTCATACATAGTCACTATTCATTCTCCCTTGCAGATACACACACATATTTATGTAAAGACAAATTGTTTCATATACGGTCAATATTTAAGTACTCAAACACCACTCACACCCTCACTCATACATACTCTCACCCATCAACACATACACCCTCACACATACCCTCGCACACAGACAGACATACACTCAGACAGACAGACAGACAGACTAGACCAGATCAGACCTGGCCAGACCAGACCAGACAAAACCAGACCAGACTGATAAACAATATATTTGCATATAGTCGTAGGAATGTATACATATAAAATAAGATAATAATGAGCTTGTCACTTAAGCCTGTACTTTTTCGTGGATAAAAAAAATAAAAAACAAAAAAGAAACAGCTTCATTCAGGTGCAGCCTGATCAATTTAACTTCGACCGAGCTATCAACAAGATGTAGTCAGCATGGAAGTGCTTACACACTCATTGTATTGTTTTTTTTAAAGTTTTTTCAAAAGGAAGAAGAAAAAGAAAGAGAGAGAGAAGACTATATACATAAGTAACAACAGGATATTTAGTGGTTGGGATGGCAAGCAACAACTAATGAAAAAAAAATAGTTCTGTTTTAATTATATATAATTTCATCTTTTTGTGTGTGTGCAGGGCTACTATGGGTTATTTATTGGATGCTAAGGAGCTGCAGATGTGACTTGAATAAACTGCTGTCAAATATGGATTTTTGCCACTGATGCTATGAGTTACAACTTGATAAGACCATCCCATTTTCTCCATTCGTTTTCAAATTTTGTCTTTGCTTTATCATCTTTACCATTTGTTATGTATTTTTGAACTGTATAAGTGTCCTTTATTATATTTATTAATGCATTTAAACTTAAAGAGCTATGAAGACATTTTGTTTTGTATACATACTGTTTTATTAATAAAATAATTTCATTATCAACTCGGTTGCTGGGTAAGAATTTATCAAAAATAATTCCAAAAAGAAAAGATTTCTTGTTAAAAGAAAAGGGAATATAAAGAATATTTAACAATGATTCAAAGCTTTGCAATAGTTTTTGTACTTCTTGACATTCCCACATTATATGGATAATAGTTTCAGGTTCTGAGTTACAGAATGTACAGAGAGGGGAGATAACTGTTCTGATTTTAAACAAAAAAACATTAGTAGTCAGAATGTGGTGAATAACTCTGTATTGGAACCACATAAGTTTTGTATTAGTGGTGACTTTAAATGGCATCTTGTAATAGTTCTCCCATGTTTGTTTGTCAATGTCTTCAAATAATGTATTCCATTTTCTGGTTCCTGATGAAATCAGTTTAGACTTAATTAATGCTTCATAGAAAATTTTTGAGCCTTTACTGTCTTTAAGAAAAGGATCTAAATTAGCAGGAATGTAAGGATAAGATAGTGTGGGTAAAGGAAAATGTGTATTGTGGGAAGAAATAAATTTCTTCACTGAGGACAGAAGACTCTGATATTTCAGGAAGTTTGTATTTACATTATATTTTTGAATAAATTCACCAAATGAGTAGAAAACTCCAGTGTTTGTGTCTTTAACTAAATCATTAATTACAAAAATATTTTTGCTATAAAATTCCTTATAAAACACTGATAAACCAGCTATCTTTATCTCTTTATTGTACCACAAAGGTGTTTTTAGTATCTGTTCTTGATGAATATTATTGTAGTATTTACTATTAAAGAGATGAAATATTTTGAAAACGTCTTTCCAAAAATCATTTCTACAATTTTTACTACAATTCTCAATGTACTCGCTCCCACAATTTGCAAAAAGACCCATATTAATGTAAGATTTCACAATATACTGCCATTTAGCCGTGGTTTGGAAAAGTCTTCTTATCCAAGTTAACTTTAAGGAATTACAAAAGGCTAAAACATCAACCATTTTCAAACCTCCATTTACATAATTCTGCACAATTATCTCCCTTTTAATTTTATCAGGTCCCCCATTCCATAGATATTCAAAAAACAAAGAATTAAGTTTAGCAAAAAAGGCATTATCAGGATTAGGTAAAGAAATGAAAAGATGAGTAAACTGTGATATAAGTAGCGACTTAATTATATTAATTTTTCCAATCGGAGTCAATGACCTTCTCTTCCATGTAGTTAGCAATGATTTTAGTTTTATTAGTTTTTTGTCAAAATTAAGTTTTGGTATCTCGTGGAGATTCACACTAAATTCTATCCCTAATAAGGTAAATTTTCTCCTACCCCACTGCAAATTGTATTCTGGTAAAAAACTGTCATCACTAATTTTTTTATTCCCAATCCATATAACCTGGGTCTTATCAACATTTACTTTTAAACCTGAAAACTTTGCAAATATATTTAGCTCTTTAATTGATTCTTTTAGCGAGTTTTTTTATCCATCAAGTATTAGTGAAGTATCATCTGCGTATTGTGATAATAGAAGTGGACAATTTTCAATTTCAATCCCCTTAATGTTAAAATTTTTCCTAATTCTAATTGCCAAAATCTCTGCACAAAGTATAAATAGATATGGTGCGATTGGGTCCCCTGTCTGCAGCCCCTCTCGATATTGAAGAAAGAAGAAAGATTACCCCCCTGATTTACAGCTGATTGAGCATTTTTGTGTAACGTGTTAAACCAATTAATTATACTATTACCAAAACCAAAGAAAATAAGAACTTTTTCAATGAATGACCAAGATATTGAGTCAAACGCTTTTGCAAAATCTATCATGAGCAACATGCCAGGTAAATCATGCTCCTCTGTGTATTTCATAATGTCATATATTAGTCTAGTATTGATGCCTATGTATCTACCAGAAAGGAAGCCA